CCATCTAGCAAAAAGGTTGGGAAACAAACCAATATCTTTAAAATTGTTTGACTTTATTGACTTTAAAATAGTCTTCTGATGTGCACAGCAGAAGGCATTGAGCCCAGTGGTATTTATTTATAATTTAAACTTTATGCTTGGCAGAATTTCTTCTCTTAATGTGCCTGGACCTAACTGCATCATGCAACACCTCATGCTTTACCAAGAGGCAATCCACCTCAAAAACCAGACAGTTTTGTATGAGAGATGACTGTTTTCTGCAGAATGGAAAGGCAGGCAGAATGACATCTAGTTATTGGTTCCTTAGTCCTTAATGTGCCAGACCGAAATCTCACGGAGACAGGTGCACCTGCACAAATGCATATGCAGGCTGGGTAACTCTATGGACAAAAATATATTCTCTCCACAGACTGATGCGGATCTAAAACCACCTCTTCCAGTTGTCTTATCCTTCTTTTACCGCCATGATGGGGGTAATCTACAGCTAATTCAACCTCATTATGCAACTCCTACCTAAAAGGTACTTCAGAGCAGTCCCTCTCCGAGGCTGAACCAACCAGCTCCCCTTGATGAATTTTCCCATCCAACCAATGTCCAGCTGCAGGAGTCAATCTGCTATCTCCTGGGACTGTACACTTCAGCCTGTCCCCCTTCCCATTTGCCAGAGTCCCTTCAGTCCCTTTAATCTATTCCCAGCCCAACCACTGCCTAATGTCTCTCACTACCTGTACTCATACCAACCTGTCTCTAAGTTGCAAGACCCCTTCCACTGCAACCAATCCAGACAACAGTCCCAAGCCATCCTGCCTCCCACATGCAGGAACTTTTCCATACCCAAACTACTATTTAGAAATGTACTCAGTTCCCTCCACCCCACAAACCGAGTACACCTGGAAACTGAGGGCTCTATCAGGGAATCGTTTAGTGTTGTAAAGGTTAAATCAATGGTTCAACTGAAAACTCTAAGATCGTCAATTATCTGTAAATATTCTGCTGTGAGAGTTTGTGGATGCATGTAACACAGTTCTCACAGCAGTAAGTGAATACACAGGAATAGCAATGCTAAACTCCTGAATGATGGTATTAAATCTCAAACAGCCTTGCTTTCAAACTGTTCTGTCTGAGACATGCAGGAGGTTATGTCATAAAAACAGTCTGTCTTTCAGCCTTTTCTGACCATTCAGGCACCCCCCCCCCCCAAACACACACACACCATGGATTTTAAGATGTATCTTTGAGGGCCACGCATTTTTGAAGACCGAAAACAAGTGGTTTTTTATAATGGGGACAGCTGTACTGAGATTTAATGATGCTGGAATCTAAAATAAGGTGGTCTCTCTTAGGCAATTCACTTAACATTTCTGCCTCACTTAACCCATCTGTAATAAGGGGGTAAAATACTTATTTACCGCTCTCTTAGGCTGTTGTGAGGATTACTTAATATGTGTAAAGGATCTGTATATAAAGCTGTACATACACGTGAAATCGTATCCGGGACCATACTCGGGCCATGTAAGTTCTGATTATATCACTACTTTCATTGTAACCCTTCTATTTTCAGGGATTTACAGATATCTTGGGTTTAGAAATTCACTCAGGGCTGATATTTAGTCTTCACGCTTTTAGCATGGGAAATTGCCTAAAAAAAAAAAATCAATCTGGACATATTTAAATATAATTAACATTTAGGTTATTTTAAAAGTTAACCAAGACATTTGTGTTGGAATTCTGTATCCTTTACAGCAGACTTGATGTAACACAAAGGATTGCCAATAGCAACGCAGTTAATGTCTTTCCTACATATTTTTGAATATGCAGAGTAACTGTCCTGAATACCCTATGTAGGAACACCAGCACTGCCCTACTGGATCAGACCAGTGCTCCATAACCCTGGATCCTGCCTCTGACAGTGGCCAGAAACAGACACTTCAAAGGAAGGTGGAAAGAAGAAACCACATAACTGGCAATTATGGAATAACCAGGGGTTAGAGTAAGGGGGAGCAGAGGACAGCTCCCTCTTCTTTTCCTGACCTGGGCAGGTACTGCTCTCCCACAGCATCCTCTGCTCCTTGGCAGGTGCAGTGAGAATACTCCTCTTCCTGTTTCCATCTTCTATAACCACTAGGTATAAACCTTTCCCAAGTTCATCCCGATCTGGATTAGAACTTTCCCAAAGTTTTGGAATGTCTGGATCTAGGGCTTTAGTTTAACAGTTCATACAGGCCTGGAGTATCTTCTCTTGAAATGTGCATCGAGAGAACCTTTGCCAGGAGGGCTTCCCCTTGTGAGGATGGAAGTAGGGATGATGCATGCCTCCACATAAGTGTTTCACCATGGTACCCTGTAGATGCCTCTCCAGTGCGGGTCCTCAGGAAAGGGGTTTCACAGGGTTTTAATGGGAGGAGGGCATGCAGCAGGGGACCCAGCTATGCTCTGTGGCAAAGTCCTCTGCAGAGCCCCCATTTCCAAATGCAACCGAGGAAGGAGTTAACAGAGCTAGAGTAGCCATACAGGGACAGCGCTAATGGCAGTCCAGGTCCTGAAGGAGCTCTTGTGGCAGAGGAGAAGGAACCCCCTGATAAGTTCCTGGGATTCAATGCCCCAAACACTTGTCTCCTTTAGAGGACAATTTCCAGGAAGTTCCTGCTCCTTTGTCCTCCCACAAGTACAGCCATGAGAGGGAGGCAGAGGGGCTAGCTGCAAAGCTCAAATTGTCCCAAACTTGAGGGAAAGATTGGAGGGGCTTGGTGCTGGGCTGGCTTAGGTTTATATCCAGTACTTTCTAGTCACTCCTATTTGTCTAGTAGAAAGTAAGGACCAAATTCGTCCATGATGTAACTGCAATGCCTTCAAAGGGAAACGTTAAATGCTTAGCAACCCTGAAAAATCAGGCCACTTTTATTTAAGTGTCTGAATATGGATTTAGATACCTTATTTTAAGCAACCAAGTTTGGAAATTTTGGCTCAGATCCTCAAAGATATTTAGGCTTCTACCTTCCACTGAAATGGACCTCTCTCCCTAGTTATACTGGGCCTGATCTAACTCTCATTAAAGCAGTTGTAAATATATTCATTGACTTTAATGGTATATGAATTAAACCCTTAGTAAACATATAACCACATAATAAAGACGCCAGACAAGCTGGCGCAATTTGACTATCTCTGGATTGATGCATGGAGGCAGAGTTATGTGTGGAAGTATGCACAGAAATTGTCAACACAATGCTAGGCTCCAGGCAGTGCAATCAGTCTCTCACTCTCCTGAGCGATGGAAATTAACCTCCCAACCAGTGAACAATAGAAAAGACTTTAAAAAGAAAATTGAATGAAAAATGTTTGAATAATAGAGAAGCTGTGACAGAAACTGACAGACGCCAGATAATTCCATTGGATTCTATATCCTGGCTTCTGTCATCTTGTGTCACAGCCTTAATGATATTTAACCCTGGTTTTGTATTCAAACACAATTATTGCAGGGGATGGGATGCATGGATTCCCTATTCTTTTATTAGGGATTTGTAATAACAGACTGCCCTACAATTTCGTGATGTGATGCCAACACTTCAGCAAGGGGCTCCCAACAACGTTTTTCCTTTTAGCTTGTAATAAACAACATGCAGAAGGGGTGCATGTATTGCACACAGGAGGGCTAGTGGACAGGGGAAAATGTGCTCTCATAACCATAATCAAAGAGGGAGGTGGCAGTGCTTGGAAATCAAATTTGGATGGAGCTGCACTTTGCTTATACTTTCCCTGCAACACATTCTTTGAGTAGGCTGGTTTTTCAGGATACAATTCAACATGCCTAATTTGAAGAGGGTCTGGAGGATGAGGGCCTAAACAGGAGTTGGAGGTATCTTCACTGGGGGCATTTTATATCGCACTTGCCATTTGGTGCAATTTGGTCCATTCCAAAACAAAAACAAACCAAAAAATTAAGGACCTTCTCTAACGCACGCTGAAGCTAATGGGGGTCTTTCCACTGACTTTGGATTAGGCCCCACAGATGATTTAGAAGAGAGGGGGTGTAACTCCATCAGAGACGAAGAAATCATCCCAAACTTCCCTTTGTTGGTAGAAATGTAACTCAACACTGAAATCCTCTGCTGGCAGATCACTGCCTTCACTTCCAATTCCCACAGACTTATATAAACACCCACAGAAATAGAATTTCACCTGCATTAAGAATACTTAAAAAAATTATCATAACAATGCAGTAATGCAGGGCAGGCTGACCCAGCATTCTGTCCTGGCCTCAAAGTAGTTTGTGCCTCTCCTTAATGGTCCTTTTACACTCCACACAATACAGACACTGTAGTCTGGGCTACATTTTCCTCTCCAGGAAAATGTCAATCTTTCCTCTCTACATCATCTTCCTCCAGGTTGATTTCCCCTCCGCACTCTGCTGAACTGCATTTAGTGCCCTGTAAGATTGTTAGAATGCCCCATAATACACAGCACTGTGCCAGCACTACAGATAGATGCAGCTGCTGGTGCAAACCGGGAGGAAGAGGTTTGTGTCACAGCCAGGCCAGGCATGTCACAGAGAGACCTAGGCCTGGTATGACCATCTCTCATTCAGTGTTTCTCATGGGGGTGAGCAAGCAGGGGTAAAGACTCTCAATTCTGAAAACTGTTTTCACCCACTAAGGAGCAACTCAGAATAAAAAGTCTGTGGGAGATGGGGGAATAAGATAGCCTAGTCAGGCGATGAGTGATCATTCAGACTTGGTCAGTTTCCTGGTAACTGGACACTAATCAACTTGGAGGTTGGTAATTATCTATAAAAATTCCCTGGTGCTTTGAACTGGTAACCAACTTTACAGCCCGTAGAGTAAAATTATGTATTTATCTGTTACAAATACTCCCAGAGACTGTGATGGGGGAGGTATTTTTAAAATAAAAATGAAAGTTAAAATATGCATTTAATTTTAAAATAGATTTAAAAAAGCCCTCTGAGTGTGAATAATAGTGGAGCATACAATCATAATAAAGGATACTGAAACTCCGGTCTGTGATTGCTAAGTGCCAGAGGTTAATCCTGAGATCATCAGCTGACATGTATGTCTCACAGTCGCTGTTGACAGAAATTGAGTTGACATGATAGGTGTGACCATTAGCAAAGATTCTCCTGGGGGTGACTTCTACCATCAAATCCATGGGTTTCAATACAGGCACCTACAAAAAAAAAATTAAATACAATTTTTAAGTAATTTCTGTGTATATGTTGAGAAACTCAACATAGTGCAGGGAATGAGATATAACTACATTTTAAATAATTTACTGCATTTCTTTCACTGCTTTATGCCTCATCAAAAACTGTCAAGTAACAAAAAGGCTATAATTTTTCTGATCCATAATAAATTAAGTCTTTGAAAACAAATGCTAGATATGTATAGGTCGGCTGTACATAGATTATTATCGTTCATTATTTGTATTATCATAGCACCCAGCAACCTAATCATGGACCAGAAAGCCACTGTGCTAGACCCTGTACAAACACATAACAAAGATGGTCCCTGCCTCAAAGAGCTTACAATTGACTAGCTAGCAATTGACTACAATTGGTGGTATTTTTTTCCATGCTTTTCATGGAGGTTACTACACTATAAAATATTTGCTGCTGAGAGAAATCAGGGATTCTAGACAATATTTCAGGATCTAAAGCTCCAATCCAGCATATAGGACTCCTCACATGAGTAAAGTTATGCACGTGCTTAATCCTTTGCTGAAGTAGGGCCCAAGAGCATATACTTTATCAGTCAGAGAACAGCTGGACATTGGACAAAGAATTCTCACAGAGGCCAGTAACTCACCTGTAGTGATGTTACGGTAGACAGATCTTTAAGTTTCCCTTCTTCATCTTTTAAGTTGTATCCCTCTGGTCTCTTATCTCGTTCAGTAACTTTCCATAATTTGATAGTTTTATCTTTTAAAAAAAGAAACCAGAGTTTCTATTAGCCAGGAGACTTCGAACTCTGTTACTCACCTTTAAGATAATAAACACTACCGAAACAGAGCACTCACCTAAACTCAATTTTGCAACTCAGACCCACTTTTCTAACTGCAAAACTGCTGACTCATGAAGGGTTTACTGAATCTACAAGAGACTCAGCCAGTTCTTGCCTGCTAACAAAATTAGCAGAAACTGCTCTCAGACCCTGCTCTGCACTTAATAGGGGGAGTGGACCAAAACTGCTCACTGCAGAAGGCACGCCCTTGAGAACCTATGTCCCTCCCCCATGAAAGATGCACAGCCGTGCAGTTCGGTCCAGTTTGCTGGGATATTCAGAAGCAACGCCATAGGAGTATTCGGTGGATGGGTTGTCTAGCTGATGAACGGCCTGTTGCAAGAATAGGCAAAAACTTATTATCTTTACCTCACAGGCTCATGCAGAGAAAAGACCAGGGAAGGACGGCGGCTATATTTAGGAGTTCCTCATCTCCAAGAGAGAGGCATGGACAGAAGAGCAGCAGCAGGGAGATACAGAGAGAGAAATTCTAAAGGAGAGGTATCACACTGGGATGGGTATGAGGCAGAGGAGTGGGGAGGAAAAAGGACACTAATGTTCTGGGAGTCGATAACCATTTCAAACCCTTCCTCTGAACGCACTGGCTGGGTGTGCATGACTTTTATGCTGCTCTCTAGTGGCTGGCTCCTACAGAGGCTATGGAACCTACCACTAATGTCAGCTGAGGAACAATCCCTTCAGTTCAAGTGGTAGAGGCCTGTGCATTTTTTTTTTTTGAAGCTGAGGGATCAGGGCTCTATGTGTGTGATCTAATAGTAATAGTGTCTGTTGCAGTGCCCAAATTCATTGCACCCGTACAAAGAGTACTGCTGGCATGACAAAATTTGCCAGGACCAGTATGGCAGCATTAAAAAGAGGCAAAATAAATAATAACAGGACAGACTTTAAAGGCCACTCCCCACTCATGTAGACTGCAGCTTTGTTCCACACAGTCCCTAAAAAGAATACAATCTGATAGGAGAAAAAGTGGTCACATTTCATTTCTGTAGTGTGTTTAACTTTGACATTCTTTTGCTTTAAAATCAATTAACCTACCTCTCGCAGAAAAGAAAACGAACTGCATTATAGCTATGATGTAGCTTATGTAGAAGTTTTTATTCACCCACTAACCCTCATGCAACAAAAATCCTAACATTGAACAGTTACAGTCTATGACTTTAGTTATACCAACCTATATTTGAGCAGCTGTACCTAGCTAACATTAAATATATGTTACAATTACACCACTTTGTGTTTCCTTTTGGCAAGTTAAGTTTTCTTTGTGACTTGTAGTCAGATGTATTATGAAGTGTGTACAGTTCAATGAAAATTCCTGTCTAACTACCATGCTATTCATAAGTTTTTAAAAATGTAATGATGCAATCAATCCAACTTTCACTTTTCACTATTAAAGCCAATGCACACCATAAGAAGAAACATTAGATGCATCTCTTTCATGGTAGGATTTGACCTCTATTGATTAGCACATCAATTTTTGCAGGAAAACTTGCTTGTTTAATGGTTAAATGAATCATATTTGCTGATTGTCTTCTCTACATATATGCCCTCTGGACTCACAACATCCTTAAATATTCAAAGTGTCAACATGCTTTGAAAAGGGACTATAGAAATGCACTGTGAGGTTCCATATTCATTCAGTCTCAGGGGTGTTGTGAAGTTTAAATTAATTAGTGTCTGCAAACCAATTTGAAATCCTCAGATGAAAGGCTTTGTATAGGCCAAATTCTGAGCTATTTGATGTAATTCAGTCAGAAACTGGCCCCTGTAGTGCGAAGAATTATCAATGAATTACAGTGATTTGTTATTATAACATTTAATTAGCTCAGTTTACAAGTCAAACTTTAATTTTGCTGACTGCAAGCACTGCTAGCCCATACTGGGACTGAAAGTCCCAGTGGGGTCCTTCTGTCTCCATTAATAAAGATGCTGCAGTCAGAACTTAGCTGACAAATTTTGCTGGTGATGTGTGAACTGGAAAGAATCCAACTCCCTCTCCCATAGCTGTGTAGCCCCTGCACGGTTTGCTGTACTGAAAACTGGTTTCTCTTAGAAGCAAATATGATGTGAAGACACGTGGGCCCAAATTCAGACCTCAGATCCATGGGTGTGTCTTCCATTTAATTCAGTGGGAGCTACACATCTGTATCTATGGGTAGAATTTGCTCTTTGGTAGAAGATCTGCTGCATAATTAGATGCTATTTTTACACACTCACTTTACTGACCACAATCGTGCTTTAAATTCTAAAACATAATTTTCTAGATCTGCCTTATTCTAATTTTGCATCCAAGTACTGGATTCAGAAAAAAATGTCTGAACAATAACCAATTGCTGTTGATCTAAAGTATTTACATGTCCCCCACTTCTGAAGTTCCTGAACACCTCAGAATGTATCTTCACAACACTTCTATGAGGTAGGGAATTACATGGTCAAAGTCACACAGGAATGGTAGAGTAGGGAACTGAAGCCAGGTCTCCTGAATTCTAGGCTGCTGCCCTACCCACTAAACCATCCTTCTACATATACCACGAGCTCAGTCGTCAGTGGCGCCAGTGCCAAGCAATGAGAAACTGCCCTAAAGGGACAGCGAAGGAGTCCCCCAACACAGAGGAATCTTTGAGTGTCCAAAGCCAGCATGTTCAGATCTATGCCACCTGTATTCTCCCCACTCTCCTCTGCACAGAAGGCATGTCAGGGTTGCGCCAGAGCTAGGAAGGGGCAGAGCAGATTTTGCCGAATCTTTGGCTGGCTGAGTGTCTGGCTGCAACCAGGGTAACTTAGGGCAGCCCTGAGACAGCTCATTTCATACCCACCAGCAAGCCCATGATCAGGGAAGCAGGAAGGTGCCTTAGAGTGTGTGCTAAGTTTAAACTCGGTAGAGCCGAGGACTGAGCCCCATGTATTTCCAGAGGTTTCTAAAAGCATACTTTAGAATGGAAGTAACAGGGTTTGCTTTCCAAAACAGAAAATCAACTTCTGCCTATATTAAAATAGGATTCTTTTGTTAAACTTGTTTGAATCAGGGAAGATATTTGAGATTAGGGAGATGTACAGAAATGAACTCTCAAATGCCATGTTTCTTTTGTGAATGATAAATTTAGCCCTCACTGTAGCTAGCTTTTAAAAATCTGCTTCATGTCAGCTTGCCAAGAGGAAAACAGATAGTAAAACCATTCCACATGCATAAGGAGGTGTGACACATGTAGGGTGACCAGATGTCCTGATATAATCAGGACCATCCCGATATTAGGGACTTTGTCTTATATACACAATTATACCTCCCTGCAAAAACAAAAACAAAAAAAGGGTCCCAATTCTTCACACTTGCTATCTGGTCACATTAGGTATATTCTGCTTTTGGATGCATCAATACAGCTCCCATTGACCCTTAATAATTAATATAATACCAAGAATTGTGTATTATGTCAGAGTGCCCCCAAAAAGCTTATGTATTAAAAACCCAGTTCCAAGGCAAGAAGGCTGAGAAACACTGATCAATATTAGACATTAATGTTCTAATCTGTGAATATTGTTTTATTGTTGTAAACCTTGACTAGAAGTAATGACCTTGCCTTAAAGAGCAGTTCTGTTCTGAAAAGCAATCGTCTAAGATGGCATTATGGTGTTCCATGTTTCTTATCTGTCAGTGATTTCTAAATTTGCTCAGTTTTACAAGTAAAACATTTTTACATCAGAGTGCTGTCAACTCAACCTGGCATCTGAGAATCAAGCTGGCTTTTACCCATGTCATACATCATCAACAGTAATGAAGGTCCTGGAAGTCAAATTATCTCCTCAGTGACACTTGTGCAACTGTATGCTTTCAAATTATTCCCACAGTGACACCTTTACAAACCCTTACTTAGCTCTTGTATGCCACTTTTCATCTGAAGATTTCTAAGTATTTTGCAAAGAAGGATCAGTATCACTAGCTCTCTATTGTGCATACCCAAGTGTAACTGTTTGGAACTTAGTAAACAATTCTGTTGATAATACATTAGAAGGAAATGTAATCCATCTCTCTCTCAGCTGAATTGGTTCTGAAGGGCTAACAGGAGTAAAAAGTATTAAAAGCCCTATTTTTTTTTACTTAAGTCAGCAGATATAGTTCTGCATACACATACAAAGCATAATTATTGAGTAAGAAGGTCCCATTTTCACATAGTTGCTTTTCCAAACAGAACTTGCATATTACTAGCAAAAGTAGATGGCTCCCTAAGTGGAGCTGAACAAATGATTTTTCTGTTTGGTCACCGAAAAATGTCACCGTTCTCCATCCCTTAAATGCCTCATGAACATTCAGATAGGAATCCTCGTCTGTGAATGTGAATAAAACTTACAAATAGTAAATATCAAAATCCATGTAACAATTTTTCTTAGTAGACTCTGAAACTGGAAACTATTGAAATGCAAATTTAATTTTAAATGAGATTGGGAAATAGTGGGCAAGAGAGACTAGCAGGGTTGGAATGGGCCAGAGCAGAATGTTGATACTTCTTGTACTGGTTCTTCTATCTTACCATTTGTTGACAGAAGGGAGTGGGCTGCATTTTGCTGTGGTAGCCACTTGATCTTGTTTATTTTTTCCTCTATCTCCAAACTCTTCAAATAATCAAATTCAGGCTCATGGCTCTGGAACGTGCTGTAAACATTGTACTCCCCCTGAATGTAAGGCTCATTTTTACTCTGTGAAGAACATGGAGAAACAAAAATGTGTCTGATGATGTCAGTATTTTATCTCCAGCTTCTGGGCTGAATGAGGTAAGCTAGTAGCCATCATAAATATAACAATCCTATGAAATATTTTATTTTAAATTTAAAACATGCTGTTGACAGATTGCTTTACTATGACAAATAAAATAGTTTTTCATGGGCATTAAAATGATGTTTAATACCCAGACAAAAGCCTTTTTAAGATCATTAGGAATGCAAAAGAGGAATTACTTCAGTAAAAATCTTATTAAAATCTTGTGGTTATTAAAAAATTGCATGTGACAATCTGGGAATTCAGAATTTAATTTTCACAAGCAGCCTTAACTCTGACCATTCCCTGCATTCCTGGAAATGTTTAGCCACACCCCATAACTTATCTGCATTACATTTCTACATGCCCCAGGATAATATCCATACTCCTCATACTAATGTACAAACTACATTGTTCCAGAGAGGAGCTACAGACCCTCCTCCAATCCAGCCTTCTTTTATCAACCTGCTGTACACTCCTTACTTTTCATTGTTCATGTACAAACCAAAGGAAGACCTGTCCTTTCCCCTCGCGGGTCCCCATTACACGACAGTTACACTTTCACAGTCTATCTGCAACATAGAAGGTCTGATTCTCATGAACACTCTCTGACAGTGTAAAGGGACTCTAAAGTGGGTGTAAATAGGTGAGAATCAGGCCAAGATTCACCAGCCAGCTTTCACTATCTACCTAATAAGCCACCAAGGAAATCACAAATACAAATCTGTCCAAACCATTCTGTCTCTACAGAGTACACAGACTGCTATACCTGACTGATTCTCCCCCACAGTGTGCATCTGAGACTGAAGTATCCGTATATAACCAAGTCTTCTGGCTAACCCCCTCCACTGGCCAAATACTGGCTGAGATGACAGTGTACAGCATTCTCCAAAACAAAACCAGGCAGGGTATGACACTATTTATTCCATAGTTATGATACAAGGGAAGGTGAGCAGAATTTGAAAAGGAAGAGCAAAAGATATGAGGGATGTTATAACATATAGCTTTGTGGTGTGGTTGCTACTAAATGCAGAGCTAAGCTTGTTTGTGGAACCTTAACTATGAATTTCAGACTAAACAAGAAACGAAAAACAAAAACAGCTTTTCCTTAACTTAGAAGTTCTGTGCTTCCAATTGTTGGCCTTGGATAGCAACTGGGAATAGCAGGGAAATTCTGAATTAAGACTCTTATCTTCTTTTATTCACCTAATTGAACCTAAATATTACAGGCTGAAAGGATAACACGCTTTCGAACAAGACTCTTTTCTGAGGCCCCTTTGTCACACAATCCCTATGGCAAAACACCTTGGGTGACGACATTCTGGCCCCACTGAAGTCAATGGAGGTTTGCCCTTGACTTCACAGGGCCAAGACTTCACCCTGTTTTCTCAGCCAAGATCCGTGATCTCCACAACAGAGCAATTAACGGAATGCTCCATGGAGTGACACTGACCTCCCACCCCTCTCAAAATAGGTAACATTCAGTTTTTGTTACTCTTGATAGCATTCAAAAAATCTATTAGATCTCAACAGTGTAAAAAAAGCTTTGTGAGCAATTACGGCAGGAAGCAGTAACAAACATACCTCAGGTTCCCTTTGGAATATAACAACCCGACCTCCCTTGTCCCCAGTAGCCAGTAGTTCTCCAGTGTGATTGAACTCAACTGTAGAAATAATATCAGCTAGAAGGAAAAAGTGAGAAAAAAGGCAAACCATTAGAAATGTCAAGGGCTCCATACAAAAACAGGAAATTAGGGACTCAAAAGATATACAGAGGAATGCAATAGCAAGCTACCCATTTAAATGTTTGCCCTGCCATTAAAATCTGGCAACTGAAACAACTGTAGACTTCTAGAGGCGAGATCATGATTTAAGGCACTGCCTGCATTTTGAGAGTAGAGGGGTTATGCACCAAGAAGAGCAGAGGTAGCACAGAAAGTCTCTTGCTACAGACTCAGCTGTGTCACAAATTATATTCCTCACCCTCTATGAGGCGTTTTAGCACTCCTGGAAGCATAGGAATCCCCCTGTCCTGATGTGCAAGGAGTGCAAATGCCTAGTCCCTCCACAGAGGCACGAATGCAAGACTGAGTCTCCTTATGTCCTTTACACACTGTGCACTACAAAACATGGTCTGTTCCAGGGCAGAGTTTTTGGCAGATCATTTCAACACCATAAAAACATATCATGAGAAATTTCTAAAACACCCGTTTTAGTTTGTTTTTAAATATAGAACCCCAAGAACAATTTTTTGAGGAGACGTGAATGTCATCAAAACTGCAGGCCAGCCTATTTTACAAAACACTGTAGAGTTGAAATGAAAGGGGAGAAAAAGAGCTAGAAGGCAGGAAGAATAAATTATTTCACTCGCATGAAAATAAATGTTAGAATCATAATCTGCAGTTAATCCTCACTATTAGCATAATTTAAATTAAAATGTCCAGTGTGATGATAAATTAGGGATCCATCATATATACCGAGTTATAGTTAAACATATAGGATATTACCCACATAAACATGTTTCGGTTTACTATAATTATCAACCTTCAGTGATAAGGGACAGATTTTTAAGAAGTGCTTAGCACTCAACCGCTCCCATTTAGGCACCTAAAGGAGTAGTCAGATTTTCAAATTATCTCAGCATCCATCAGCTCACATTGAGAACAGTGGGAGTTAGTGGCAGCTGAGCCCTATTGAAAATCTGGACACCCTTTAGGTGCCTAACCAGGATATGTAACCAGCTCTTTTGAAAATCTGGCCCTAAACATAGTCACTAAAATTCAAAAGTATCTAAATGAGAAGTAGAAGTTCCATTTATTTGATGCACTTTATGAATTAAAAACATCTGTTCCCATTATTCTTTTACTA